ATGACCGAGATACCCGTTCGAACAAGGTCTCGATCGATGTAATCCTTCGCGAATTGGGCTGCAGCCAGATTGATGGCTTCCAGGATATTACCCTGGCTTGCAGAAGAGGGTCGACCAGCTATGACAATATCAGTAGCGGTGTCTTCAGAGGTTGACTCCTCAATCTCAGAAGCAGGTTTTACTGGTTTCCGGACCAGAGATACTTCTCGGAGAAACATCCTGAACTCTTTTTTGAGCTGATACAGGATGTTAATCCAATCACCACTGGCCATGTCGCTCACGACAACTCTGTAGTAATCTCTAAAAGTGCCGGAATGCGACTCCGAGGACATGTTGCTCGTCGTCCCCTCGGGCTGATCTGCCAAGAGCTCTCCGTCATATTGCATCCTCGTAAACAGTATGATGGTGACCAAGTGTCGCGCATTGATCCTCAGCCATCTCTTGAAGAGGTCTGGAAGGAATCCACTGACAACCTTGTTGAACATTATCTCGCCAGCGCCTTCGGTATCGAAATCCCACATCTCTCTAGACATTTGGATGAACAACGTGTATCGTGCAGATTCGCTGCGAAAGATGGGCTTCGATTTCGGCGAGAAGTACCCGGAATGGACAGACTGACCATTGATATAAATGTGTTTTATCGTGGCCTTGATGGTACCCATGAATAGTAGTCGTTGGCCACGGTAGACGGTACGCTTGCTGAGCTCGGCAATGGCCATGCGCCACATATCCGCGCGTGCTAGGTATTCGTCACGGAACACGATCTCTACGTGATGGGCTTCGTGAGCATCTTCATCAGCTTCGGTCACTACAACCTGCATCCTATTGCGGAACCCGAACACCTTCGCGATTCTCTCTGATATGGAAACCTTCTTGCTATTAGTTGAGCAAAAGATTACTTTGTGTGAATCTTACTTGTAGGTTTAGATATTTTGTCTTCAAGTCTGCAGGAAGCGGTTTAGGAACGAAAACATAGGCTTTTTCCGCATCGATTTCGCGACCACCGGGAATGGTCGAGCCATTCTCATCAATCGTAATCGTTATCGAATCCCGACGATTTCTTTTCGGATGGTTATCTATATTGGAATCCTTGTGCAGTGCATCGGCTTTGAAGTGTGTCGCATCTTGCGACTGACTCTTGGATCCTGTGTGAAAGTCTCGAACAGTGTGGTCTGCATGTATCGCCACAATCTGGAGGAGGGCACCAGCACTGGTGGGTAACTCAGGGAACTTCTCTCCATTGAAGATGATCTCGTCTCTAGAAAAATTGTCGTCATGGGTCCAGAGAGTGCACACCTTCTGCACTCGGGTTGAGTGGGGGGTTGAGGCGGGTTTCGACATATTGGTTGTTCCTTCTGCAAAGACGGTTGCTGGCTTCGTGCAGGATCGGGGACATGTTTGGGCTGCTCAGTCGCGTCCACGCGGCGATAGTCGCGCCATTTCTGTCGTGCACGGATTGTGACGAATTTCTATAACGCGTGTACAAGAGGTTTTCGCGAAATCAGCGGGGTGGAGCGCACTTGGATGGTCGCGTCGCGGATGGGACTCTGTAGGGCAAGGGACCTCGAGGTGCAGAAGATGCCAAGACGCTAATGGCAGGCTAACCTCGGGAAGTTAATCACGATAGCGCACCCCAATCTCATCGTACTCGCGACGTCAAGAGGCTCGCTTGAGTTGATGTTCCTGTGCAATTGCGCCACCCCTACGACGAAATGCTAGATAACCGTCGCCTCAGTTAGTCACACATGGTAGCAAGACGTGTGAAACTTGCCGTGACAACATAGAGATTCGAATCGAACGACACGTGCTTTAGGTGCGACCAGCAGTATTTCACGAGTATCCTACTGTCGAGATTCATGTGTTTCAGACACAACCAGCCTTTCGTACTACCTGTCGAACTTGAAGCGAACACTAGACATGGCCCATGTACGACTCTTACGATGATGACCCCATTGAACACGCACCGCCAGCGCCCCAGCTCCCTTCGAATCGGTTGAGAGATGGATAAGGAACATGCCATTTCATCCAGGTCTTTCGAACAGCATGGCACGCGATTAACCACCAGATAATTCAAGCGGAACAGAAAGTGATACCCCACGAACATGAACAGATATTCAACGCCAATACACCCGTGCTAATTTCACTGCGCCGATCTTACCATGACTCTTCAAGCAAAACAGTAAACCTGGAATAGCTCGCTCACACGAACCTCTTGAGCACCATGAACAATAACGCGGCCACTACTCCGTAAATGCAAGTATCGATCCAAGCCAGGTCGGGACTACGTTGGGCGACCTGTTGGAGCGGAGGTGCGGGTCTCGTCCTTGTCGGTCTAGCCGTAGGTACAGCAGGGGTGGGTCGCGTTTGGGTTGTGACTGGTACTGTAGCGGTAGGTACTGATGGCGCGGCAGGCGACGCGACTTCAGCAAGACTCTCTACTGCCCTTTGCTTGCCCTTGTCCACCGGCTTGTCGTCCTGGCCTTCCTTACCCAGCTCGTCGCGATAGGCAAGTCTCAGCTCTTCGGGGACTTCATCGTCTTTCCGCTTGCCTTCCTTCTCCTCAATCTCCTTGACGAGCTCCTCGCGCTCTTGCATGATGTCAGCATTGCTCTTGGCACAGCTGGCACATTTCCACGCGCCGCTGTCCTTGGCCATGCGCTCGCGTGCTTCTCTGCTGCATTCGATGCCGCCGAGCTGGCCCTTAGCGTCCGTGTCCATGAAGCTCCTTATCGCGACGAGGGCTGTGCGCACGCCCCAAGCCGGTTGCCATGTTTCTTCGTGATGACCCGATATGCTTAGACAGATTTCGCGGTTGACTTCAAAGCGGCCAGTGGGTGTAAGGAAGCGGAAGGATGGCGGGCGGAGAGGATACGTCGATGGCAGGACTATGCGGCCGTGGTAGATACCGCCGGCGTAGGGTGATGGCTCTGGCGGGCCGCGGATTGTGAAGTGCCATTCGAAGAGGTTGGTTTCTAGAGGTTCGGCGTGATAGTCTGAGGAGGGCGATACCGACAGTTCCGATGCTTCCTTTACTACGACACGTGTCAGCTACTTGTCACCGGTCACAGCCCAATGCTCGCGTACATATGCGCTTGATAGTCGGGTTCTTTGTGTTGAACTGCCCGCGGGTGGACATGGTCGCGGTGGATATGAGCTAGCAAGACCGGTGAGATGAGAGGTTGTGAGTTGACTAGGAGTGAGCGTGAGTTCTTATGAATATATATCAGCTGCTGTGCGGCGTAAGCGTTTGAACGCAATCACTCGGAATGCAACGTAGACAACCGTGAAGCGCCGAGGCTGCGTCATTGGCAAGTACCGCCGACTGCTCGTAATCGATAGCCCCAGCCCCAGCCCCACTTAGCGCGTCGCGTCGGACACTTCGCAGGACCGTCGAAGCTGCTGTAGCCTGCACCCAGAACTGCAGGGGCGATGCGATAGCAATCCATCTGCACGGAATTTGACTCGGGACATTACGTGCCTCCGCCGCTGCAGCATAAAGACGTGCCACCCCTACCACTCATACTCATCTCGCCATGTCTTACCATCCCCATGACCTCTTGATTGCGAAGTACTTCCCGGATGAAGACCTCTCCTCCATGGACTACGACTCGGTCCGGTATGCAGCTTTGTACGTCGGTGCGCATGATGAGGAACGTATGGGCCGAGAACCTCCTCGCATCCCATGGCCACTGCCCCCTCAGCGCCCGGAGGAACATCTTGAAGCCAGTGTGGAGCAATGGCGGAGCCAGACGCTTCGGGCTATCGACGCGCGCGTAGCTGTCTTTACATCTCGTTCTGTTCCGCAGCACACAGTAGCAATGAAAGCTATAGCGGCAAAGCCTACAGCAACAAAGGACCTTGAAGCTTCAGCACCAATAAGTCCACTCACCCCTACCCATCGCCTCCTCCTCATACCCGAGCTCTTGGAACTTATTCTCCGGCAAGCGACGGCTCAGGTTCAACATACCGCATGGGACGTCAATCGTCTTTGGCGGTGTACAATCGAACATATCCTTTCAACTCAGTACCGCTCTCACTTTCCATGTCCTCCAGTTGAACATGGCGAACCTATCGATATGGCCACATATCCGTCGTGGATGCAACCGTCGGAAGATGAGATTGCTATTGTCGAGAATCAGACCACGGATGATTCGCAAAGAGCTCAACACGAGCATGCGCTAGTCTGCTACCCAGCCAGAATTACTCAAGCCAACTCGCTATCCGAAGACGCTTACCTGACCATCCGAAGATCTTATGAACGGTTTGGTTGGATGACCGGAGCGTCTACGCCTGTGGCCAAAGTACCACTATGGCTAGACCTCAGCCAGATCCAGATGAATCCTCACGTCCTGGAACTGTTTGGTAGCCGCATGGAGCTAAATCTCGGACGATGTGAGATTTCCTTGAAGGCAGGTACTAACCAGCCTTGCCTACTTCGAGGATCGCTACCAGGCGGCCGCTTCGCAGAACTAATAGCTGACATGTTCCTGACGGAGCCTGCCTGCAAGACACTTGGCATATACATGCCTCATTTGCATAATAATCGTTTGCGTTTAATTTCTAGAGTAACCCAGGATGATGGTATCCGTGTGGGACATTTCCTAGGCACACTTCAGCGGCATACTGACAAGCTTCTCTCTACATGGCAAAGACAGGCTGAGATCATTCGCCAGAAGGTTCAAAATACACACTGGGCATTACTAAGCACTGAAAAGCAGCGGCTTAGCCCGTGGATACATCACGCCTCGCCGACTTTCATCGTGTTTTTCGAACCGACTGGTGGATGTTCTAAGACTGTAGCTCAACGGGCTTACCATTATAGTGGCGATAGTCTTGATACATGGAGGAATGAATGGTTCAGCATTGTTACAGATGACTAACTTGAGCTGAACTGATCGTTCTGAAAGTTCATCGAGCTTGCCATCACTGAACACGCATTTGAGTACGGCCCAAGGAGGAGGGCAACTAGTAGGCACTAAAACCTTCAATGCGACATTCCCTCAAGAAATCCCCTTCTGCAACCTCTTATACATCTCCTCCTCAGCGATCAAATCAGTCTTGAACTGCTTCGTCTGCTCGGCAACGCGCATGAGATGTTCCCTTTTCAGCTTCCCACCATTCTCCTTATCCACCAAAGCAATCCCCATAGCTGTCGACACCACATTTCTGATCTGTCGGCCATTGAATCCGAGTTTGCGACTGTCTTTCTCGACCCATCGCATAAGGTCATCGAAATTATGAACGAGTTTCTTGCCTTGGAGTTGCACGAGGAAGGATTCAAAAATGGCAATTTGTTGCGATTGCATGAGTTCTTCGTATTTGATCGCAATGTCTAGGGCAGGTGTATTAGTAAGAGGAATAAACGTTGAATGAGCAGGTGTCGGTCGATGGACTTACGAATGCGACTCTGGACAGCGATGTCAAAAGATCTCATGCGGTTGGTGGTGAGGATCAGTATGCCGTCATAATACTCTAGCACGCGCAAGAGTACCGAGACCATGGCATTACGCCTCAGATCATTTTCCCCGCGACCGCGCGCTTCGAGAAAGACGTCCGCCTCATCGAAGAGGAGTACGGCCTCCCATTTTCCTGCAAGGTCGAATATCTTTTGCAAGTTGGCTTCGACTTTGTCGCCTTCAATCCCGATGTCAGATACCCCAACGGAAAGTAGAGGCTTGCCGGCCATAAGAGCTACACTCTCTGCGGTTAGAGTTTTTCCGACGCCGGGATGGCCTGTACTTGATTAGTGGCCGTGGATCACTATCGGGCGAAAGGTTCCTCTTACCGTAGAGCATGATGACGAGACCCTTACCCTTGTCCGGCGCAAAGTCTTGCAAGCTCTTGGATTCGCCCTTGGCGTCGACGTCCTTCCCGTGTTCATGTGCTTGCACGGACCATCTAACCAGGTCTTTAGAGTCCGAGTCGAGCTGCAACTTGTCGCGGAAGACACTTGCATCAGCATCGTTAGGAGGTTTGAGTTTTTCTACCAGCAGCTGCGCCCACTTCTTCTGCTTCAGCGCGTATCCGAGGACCCTTGGAGGACAATGCATGAGTTGCTCTGACGATATGGGTTTGCCAGAGGGGTGTCGATCCCAGTGAGTCTTGTACATGTCTCTGTATATCTTGTTGGCGCGTTTCTCGGGTGATAGATTCTCCAGTTGGCCACGGAACTGGGGAAGATCTCCGAGAATTGGAGTGTTCGCGGGTAAGTATTCGAAGAAAGAGGTGAAATCGACCATCGTGGTGCCCTCAATCTAGAGTCAAGTTAGACAACAATGCGACCCAATCTAGTTAGAAGTACGCAATGACTTACCTTCTTCCTCTGCACGTATCGAGCCTCGCTGATCCGTCCATCCCCGGTGTCGGTAGATGTAGTATCATCATCGTGTCGAAGGCGCCTGCCCTCATCATCATTGTTCCCAACGAAGCTACGTCCCGTGTGAAAGTACGCATCACCGGAGTATGTAAACATTTGTTTGCCTTTGCCCGGATTACAGAGCTTGACAAACTTCTCTCCCCGAGCCACAAGTCGTTCCTTGAGGCGAGCGATTGCGTCATCCGATGAAATGTCTTGTTCATCTGGGCTAGTGTAATATTTGAGCGGATAGAACGGTAATTCAGCGATGCTCTTCCGATTGGAACCCCAGTGGCTAATCTTTATCTCGAACGGTACCCTGGTAAACTCTGTGCCAGTCCAGTCGAAGCTGAAGCATGTCAGATCGAAGGTGTGATCTTCTCGTAGAATGAAAGAATCACAGGAATCGACGGTAAAGATCTGAGGCTCACCCAGGCAGGGGTGTGAGACGATCAGGGTACCTGGAGGGAACAGCGTCCACAGAGCTGCGTGCGAGATGCTACTCTCATTATCGAAGAGGCTTCTTTCTTTGAAGTACTGGTCGAGATGTTGGATACCTGAAGATGTGGAGATGATCCGCATAAGCTCGCGGAGGTCGACACGGGCTTGCTTTTCCTCGGGCGTCTCGCTCTCCACAAACTTCTTCGCTTCATCTTCGGCTTCTGCCCACATCCAGACCAGATTATCAAAAGGAGAGCTGATGCTTTTGACTAATTCGTCTGCTCCGAGCTTTGACGTTATTTTGCCAATCAGCCTCTGCAATGGCTCGGCTTCGATCTGGGCCACTGATAGGACTGTTTCGACAATGTTATAACGAGGCCGAAACATGGTGGACTTGCGAAAGGTAAATGCTCTGCGACTCTCAGGTTTGGGTCCTATCTCCTTCTTCTCGTTACTTTTCGTGATCTCGTCATCTTTGTAGTCGCCAGTGTCAGGATCCCACTTGTTTACAATGATGACGTATCGGGGTTCCTCTTCTTCCTCGGTATCGTTCTTTTCAACAGGTGCCTCGGATTTGCCGTCATTCTTCTACGCTGCGGTCAACACAAAGACTTGAAAGCATGAGATTCATATGCGTACCTGTGACGCTCGATCATCGTCGTTATTTGCCGAAAGGCGTTCTTCAAGCAAGGCTATCTTCTTCAGAAGGAGCTTGATGTACTGGTCTTGGACCTGAGTTGTTTCCAGGGTCTTCGCCGTATCCTAGGTATCCATTAGAACCTGCAGAAGCACGAGCGTCATGTATCATACAAGGCCTTCGTCTGCCCCAACGGTAGCCTCGTCGATCACAGGCTGCTGCGACATTTTGTGAAAGGGATGAGAGGAGTTGCGATCGGGCTCACACGCGATGCGAGCAAGCTTGTAGCGAGGGCCCTTTTGTGTATCTTTGGCGAACGCCAGCTACGCGCCTACCTACATGATGCGACACCTTCCGTCGGCAACCGCGAGGCCCCCAAAGATATTGACCGGAAGTGGTCACGACATTGGGGGCCATGATTGGTAATTCGAGATTACCCAACAGATGCAGGGTTGTGTACATCCGACGGGACTCGAAAGGATGGGCTGTATTGTTCAATTATTGGGCACAAGTACCTCGTCGATTGGTCTAACGGAGCGTTCCTGATCTTTCGGCCTTAAATTCCCAGGGTTTCTTTGAGCGGCTGGCGCGGGGTTGTCGCTGCAGTCATCTTACATGTGTCAGCCTATACACGAGCATTTCTTGGAAGGCGCCACGCACAAGGCTGAGTGCGACAAAGCGCAAAACCTGACTTCTGATTCGTACACCCCCAGCCTCCAGATATGCATCGCGTATTGAAATTCTAAAGCTGGTCGCAACCCTGCATTTTTGAATTCTGTGGATGGGTAACCTGCGTTGTAACCTATGCAAGTGTCAGCTGTGCGGTAGTAGCAACAGAAAGGAGCTTTGCATACCCTGCTCCATCGCTTCCTTGCAGTGAACTCCCCCGAAAGCCGGCGCATCTCAGTTGCAAACTCAACGATGGACATCAGGCAAGATGAAAAGGAACTAAAACCAGTGTCGCAATGGTTTCCAAATTCCGAGTGGATGTGCGTACCCTGAAGGAAAGTCTGTGGATGTTATGAGCTCGACTGACTGCAATAGGAAGCATTTGCCATTATCGCAGTTCGTTGCGGAACACAACAGTTACCTGAGTAGCAAACTCAAGCGGACTGGGCTTGGAGTCAAAGCAGAGCTGAGAAGCATTCTCAATTCCGTGCCGGAAAACCATGATGTCACTTTGACAGATCCGAAGAAAGAGATTGATCTGCTGCAGTCGCTAAATGCTATGCCACTCGATGTGTTGTCCAACTACGTCCACAAACACGCTGAAGACCTTGGGGCAGCGCATACTACCCTGGCCCAGAGACGATCTGACGGTGTCCGAAAAGCCTGGTCAAAGACGGAGAGGTTCGTCATGCAGTTCGATAGGTTTCTAAATGCCTACTCTGGAATCCTAGACATTGTCAAAACAGCCGACGCTCAATACGGCGGAATAGCGGGCTCAACACTCGCGTTGCTTTTCTCGGTAGGGCACAACCACGAAAGCCGTATCGGAGTGTGGCTAACCCGCGCAAGACTGTGAAACTGAAGATCAAGAACGAAGAAGCCATCGTGTCCGCAATGGAACAGATATCTGATCGTCTTCCAGACCTGGAGGTATACCGGAAGATCTACCCTGAGCCAAAACTAGGCTTGATGCTTGTTGATGCCTACAAGGACATCATCATGCTTGCGCGAGCAGCGACAACTTACTTTCTTGGGTCGACTTGGGGTACATGGCGCCATTGTGGATCCCAGGGTTGAGTCCTTCTCACTAACGACTGGACAGGACGACAAGTGATCAACTTTGGAAGTCCACTTGGTTTTGAGGTCCTAGAGCAAAACATGAGAGACAACTTCCGGCGTATCCGGATAAGATGCGACGTCCTCCTAGCGCAGCGGGTAGATGAACTCGCGAACGAGCTCAAAGGTACGTATATCATGGATAATGCGTGCCGATATACTAAGAGTCAACAGATAGTTACGAGCGTGAAGACAGAACCAGGGTTGTTTCGTTACGCGATGCGCTGAACATTGGGAATTATCGAACACAGGATGCCGTGGCCTCGCTGAAGCAGTATCGCACGGCGCTAGCATCCAGCTTCGATGACGACAGACATCGCTCAAAACTATGCAAATCAGATTTGATGGCCGAAAGAAAGGCGCGCGCCTGGCAAGAGAGTTCGTCCTGTCTTCTCATGCTCTCGGGCTGCAATGAAGAAGGTGTCGGTGAAGTGGCACTGTCCTGGCTATCTCCAGTGGCTGTGGACATCGTGCTTGACCGGCTATTTCAACCCCGACCAGTTGCCTTTGAGATCTGCACCAGATCAAGCACATTGCAGAATGTACTAGCGCGGTTGATTTTCCAGCTATTAGAGAAGAACCCGGCAGTGGTCCGAAAAGGCCAGGACTGGTACGACATCCAGTCGCATATTGCCTGGGAGGGTGATTCAGAAGAAAAGACCGAGCATCTCTCGGAAGCGTTACTCAAGATCATCGATCTTCAGACAGAGGAAGTGTATGTTGTCATAGACAGACCTGAGCTCAGCGAAGATGATTCCGTAAGAGACTTCGCTTCGGGCATGCTCCATTTGATCGAGCATACGAGGAATGTTCTGAAAGTGCTAATTGTCCATCGAGCTGAACTCTGGAATTGGGAGGAGAATAAGCGAAGTGTCATCAGGAAGGGTATGAGGGACGAGATCTGCCAAGCGCTTCGCATCGATCAATGCAGGTTGGAGAGCGATTAGAGTCGGTGACATAGGCCCCGGGGCGACGCGGCAGGTGTGCAGTAGCGGCGGGCTTGGCATCTGTGTGCAGGAGCGATTAAGGGTCCTTTACACGTGTTAATTGAGCTGAAGCACAGGCATCACATTTTGGAGACCAACCTCAGTTGACTTGAAGACTTGGGATCGGTGGTGGAAGGCTTTTCGCCATCTAAAGCTCGATTGATCAACTGGTATATTTATCTTGCAATCCCATACAGCCGTGAACATACATCATCGTGCCTATTTTTTCTTCCCTGACGCCTCGGTAGCACTCAACTCCCTGATGAAGACCTTTGTCACACCGTCAGGTACATCGTCGACTCCGTCCTCGAAGCCTGGGCTGACTCCAATGGCTACGAATTTGCCGTCGTTGGAGAAATCGATGGTCTGGACGCTAGCAGGGAACTTCTGGTACTGTCTTATCCTCCTCTTTGCTACTGCATCCCACAGAGCGACTATGCCGTCTCCACCTCCTGTCGCGAAAGTGCCGTGAACTGGGTGGTATGCGAGCGCGTGAACTGGGTAGACGATGTCCTGGCCATCAACATTTTGTCGGTGGCATTTGAACGCGTACTTGCGCGACTGCGACTCTTCAGATGGGTCGAACCACTCGACTGCTACACGTCCCTCGATGCTCGAGCTAGAGTATCCTGCGTCGTTTGGCATGCAAGACACGGCGCGTGTCATGTACTTCATGGAGCTCTCCCGCTGCTGCCACGGCTCCACTCCCACTTCCTCACCGCCGCCTGTCTTGGCAGCTTCTGCCAGCTTGTCCAGCTCGTAGATATTGACTGCGCGGCTGGCCATGGCGACGACTAGCTTGGTGGGCGAGGCGGAGAGGGAGAAGGGTTTGGATGGCAGGCGGATGGCAGAGAAGTCGCCGGGTTGCGACAGGTCGTGGAGGTGCAGTGTCGAGTCCCATGACGAGGAGATTAGGAGGTTGTGCGGGGCGGAGTAGAGAACATTGCGAACACCCTGGGAGTGTGTAGACATGATGGTCTGCGCGCCCGTCTCGAGGTCGATTCTCCGTACCTCCCAGTCGAGCCCGCAGGAAAAGGCCTCGTTGTCGTCGCGCCCAAAGCAGACATCTAGCACGGGCGCGCGGTGTTCGAATTTCTGGAGCAGCTTGCCGCCGGGCTCAGCATGCGTATCGTAGAGGTAGACATGGCGGTCCCAGGAGGAGACGAGCAGGCGTGTTGGGTTGTTGGTCGCGAACTTGACCGACGAGATGGGCTCCGTCGGGTTTTGCGCAAGCTCGAATTGGCCTGGCTGGGTCAGTCTGAGTCTGTGTCGCTATAGACTCGCTATGAAGAGCTAAGGGCAACTTACTTGACATGTTGGCGGTATGTATTGCTGCTCGTGGTGGAAGCTGCGTGCTGGATCGAAGCTCGAAGACGCGGGAGTCCGCAAGCCAAACATTTGGGATCTGCGCTAACGCCCCTCCAAAAGTTCCCCAGCAACTCCCTCGTCACGCTTACACCAACCACGATGCCCTTTGCCCAACTCGTCATAGGCCCGCCGGGCTCAGGCAAGTCGACGTACTGCGATGGCATGCAGCAGTTCATGGGCGCCATCGAGCGCAAGTGCTCCGTCGTCAATCTGGACCCCGCCAACGATCACACCTCGTACACGCCCGCCGTAGACGTCCGAGACCTGGTCACGATCGATGAGATCATGGAGCAGGAGACTCTGGGCCCAAATGGAGGAATCTTATTTGCACTCGAGGAACTAGAACACAACTTCGACTGGTTAGAAGAGAGCCTGAAGGAACTAGGAGGTTTGCGACAACACTCTACGTCCTCGAAGTATACTAACAGGCTCAGATGACTACGTCCTCTTCGACTGCCCCGGCCAGGTCGAGCTCTTCACACACCACGGATCGCTGCGCAATATCTTCTTCCGCCTACAAAAACTTGGGTATCGAGTATTCGCCCACCGCCCATGGCTTGCAACTGGAGGCTAACATGAACCAGCTCGTCGTCGTACACCTGACTGACTCGATCATCCTCTCGCGACCGTCGCTCTACGTTTCCTCCCTCCTGCTCGCCCTGCGCAGCATGCTGCAGATGGACCTGCCTCACCTGAATGTTCTCACCAAGATCGATAACCTCCGCAACTACCCCAATCTTCCCTTCAATCTCGACTACTACACCGAAGTCCAGGATCTACAATACCTACTGCCGCACCTCAACCGCGAACAGACGTCCGGCATTCCGGGCCCCACCATAGCCGGCGCAAACGAGGACGTGGATCCGGACGACAACGAACCGACCTCAAAGTTCTCCGCGCTGAACAGAGCTATCGTAGAACTCGTCGAGGACTTTGCGCTGGTAGGCTTCGAGACACTGGCGGTTGAGGATAAAAAGAGCATGATGACGCTACTGCGGGCTATCGATCGTGCAGGTGGCTTCGCGATGGGTGGAATAGAGGGCGCAAATGACACAGTGTGGCAAATGGCCATGCGCGAGAACGGGGCGACTATGGACGCTCGCGATGTACAGGAGAGGTGGCTGGACAGGCGGGACGAGCTTGACGAAGAAGAGAGGAAGGCATGGGAGGACGAGACCAAAGAGATGCGCGACCCACCACCACAGAACCCTCCCCAAGCACCGCCTGCCGCGAAACCACCTACAAAGTCCAAGGATCAAGATAGTGACGACGACATGGACGATCTTGAGGAGATGCGACAATTCATGGAGAAGAAGGACTCGGGCATCAATGTAGTTAGGAAGTGAAGTAAGGACGCACTGGACCCTTAGGCAGCGCAACGACCGCACGCCTGTTCAGCATGCTCTCTCTGACGCTATAGTAGCGATGTCAGCATTTTGTGGGCTTTCACGACAGGGACTGTATGGCTACAGCATCCTATCTACATAGAGTGACGATCTAAACGTCATGGCGATTTGCAAACTTGTAGGGATCTTGCAAGGTTGGGAATGGGAGCACTGCTTAATATACAGGGAATGGCTTGAGCCGAGGAGTTGCGCGCAACCACCGTGAAGGAAGGCCAGGCACTTAGTCCAAGTTTGGATCTTGAAACAACGCGTCGCGTGAGCAAACATGCACGCGCCCGCACGGCTCGATAGTCGACTATTGTATAGAATCTAGCCCTGCACTAGACCCTAATCGATTCCGTCTAATGTCATCGTATTGCTCCCTTGGCTGTTTTTGACTGCGCACATGCTTAAACGCAAGCCCTCGCGCGACCTGGTCCCCAGCGGCGGCCCCCACGTCTCCATCTTTAGCAGCGACCCCACGCTTAGTCGTCATAAGCGGAAGCGCTCGCTCTTCCGTTCCCAGCACAACAGGGCGCAGTGGGTACCCGAGCCAGAGCGCGACATGAGTGAACTGCTAGATTTCGTCCTGCAACATGAAGATGCCTTCAAGAAGTAAGACCACCCACATGTCGGCGTCACCCTGCATTGCTGACTAGCACAGCCAGCATCGCCTTGCATCGCTCTATGCAGACTTTCGGCAGCAGCTCGAGATAAACCCCGAAGGCTACCATGCCAACATCGCCGCATGGACGAAAGCTCTCGTCGACGCCTCGCGGGCGGGCGTCATCCCGAGGCAGGGCACCACCCACGACCTTCTGAACATACGAGCTGCCGAGGAGCTCGCGCGAGCCCTACAACATCCGCAGTATGGCAAGCCCACCTGTCTACCGGCCGTATTCCATGAGGCAGTGCAGAAGAAGGAGATGGTACCTCTGAAGGACTTCATGTCATCAAAAGAAAGCATATACAAGACATCGTGGATACCCTCGCCATGGCAGGTGCTTCAGTGGAGCTTGCGGCAGGTTGGGGTCCTGGGGCAGGTGCGCGCGCCGGCCAAGATGGAGGTGGGGAACTTCGTCGTCGTCAAGAACGTCGAAGTTGCTGCGGATGAGATACTCAAGAAGATGAAGGAGCACGTATCCACGGCTGACCGGGTACTATCGAAGACAGACTTCTTGAAACGTTTCGCGACTATACTAAATCCGACTGCACTACTTACGACGAACGACCTCGATATACTCCTCGTATTTCTTGCCCGAGACAAGCAAGCGATATCTCACAATGATCAGACGATCAAGTTCAAGCCAGAACATGAGGCTGTCCCCCTGCCTGTCACAGAAGAAGACGCCGCTATTGCCAATCTTCGCGACACACTAGCGAATATCAACGCGCAGATACCGCCATTGATGGAGAAGATTGCTCTGGCCGATGCAGCCGCACGGGAAGCCGTAGTCGCGAAGCAGATGGTCCGCGCCAAAGCTGCTCTGCGCTCCAAGAAGCTTGCCGAAAACGCTCTCGCTCAACGTTCGGATGTCGCCCTCCAGCTCGAGCAAGTCTACACCGATCTACAACAAGCCGCTGATCAGGTCGAGATCGTGGAGGCCATGCGAGCTGGTGCAGCGGCCCTCAAAGGTCTCAATGAGAAGGTTGGCGGTGCAGAGGGTGTTCAGGGTGTTGTCGATGCCGTCAACGAACAAATGGCGACCACGGAGGAAATCACGAATATCATCAATGAGACCGACCAGCCTCTTGATGAGGGCGAGATTGACGACGAGTTCGAAGCACTTGAGAAGGCGGATCGCGAGAAGCGCGAGAAGGAAGAGGCCGAGAGGACCGCTGCAAGGCTGGCAGAGCTTGAGGCAGTGGAGAAGAAGCGCAGGGAGAAGGAAGCTGCAGACGACGAGCAACGGCAGAAGGAGGCTGTTGATGCGGGTAGAACGGAGAAACAGGTCGATGAGGCGTCTCAGAGCATGGCAAGGATGTCTTTCCATCAGCCGGATGATGAGATGGAAGATCCCGAGGAGGAGAAGCGCACACTGGCTTATGCCTAGGCATTCTTTGATTGTTCAGCGCTCATCTGGTTTATCTGCATAGCATCGGCGTTACGGGCTCTTATACCACAGATCAGTTACTTAGGTACTGATGGTACACTACATAGTCATCATTTTGAGAGAAATGTTACACTTCTACATTACAGTAACTCTGTAGTCTCCCTATGAAACATGATCTGTTTTTTTGCAATTTGACTTTCGACAACAATCCCTGTGAGCACTTCGACGTCTCGTTGCTCCTTCGCTCCGGCGCCACTAGCCGCCGCCACGCCAAGCAATCGCAGGGAACGCGGAACCTCACCTTGACATCAAGACAACCAGCACCTATCAGCCCCCATCACAACCCGCTGCCCCTACGCCGGGACCTACCAAACCACTCTACACCTACCTCAGCCCTCGATCCGCTCGCCTGCAGACCACCATGAATTCCGTCCGCGCCGCGACCAGCGCCTCGCGCACCGCCCTCACCGCTTCAGCTCGCACAGCAGCTCCCCGCCGAGCCTTCTCACAGTCACAAACGAAGCGCTCAGGTCACGGACCCAGCTACGATCCCCCATCCGGATGGCTCTTTGGCGTCAAGCCCGGCGAGCAGTATGAGAAGGAGGGGTGGGAGAACGCCATGTACTGGGGCTTTGGAGGAGCGTGTGCGTTTGGCGTTGTGGCCTACGCTTTCAAGCCGGATACTAGGTATGTGCAAATTTCGTGCTGGGGGTAGATGGACGGGCATGGTGCGGGATGGGTAGAGAGGTGGATCAGGCGGGGGAGTCACAAGAGGACAATGGAATTGAGCACGGATGGAGCGACAGAAAGGGCACAGCGGCGACGGATCAATTGTACAGAAGCTAACAGTCTACCAGCATCCAAACCTGGGCCCTAGAGGAGGCGCGACGAAGACTCGAAGCCGAGGGTATCCTCGCAGACCCAGACACCGTCAAGAAGGAGTAAACGACACCTTCAGCAAGTCAACAAGACCCTAGACATGGGGTGGAAGTCTTACAGCAACACCACGGAAACTGTATATATGCTAGTGGGGACGAGGATGCGACACCTTTTTCTTTTGTGAGCTTGGATCTGGATGGGCTAGACGCTCGATAGACTATGCGATGATGGCTGAGTAGCCGAGGGTAGGCAATTGTATTTTTTTGTTATGGATGTTTGTGAATGGTATGTCCGCGGGCATGTTGTGTGATGCTGACGATCTTGCGCAACCTGTGGCTGTGTGTGGGTGGTAGACGATGTTTGTCGAATCTCAGAGGCTGTTGAGGTCTGCGTACATGAAGCATTCTCACTTCGGCCAATACCTGAGGCTGTACTTTCGAGAACGTATCTTAGTTGGGGATTGAGAAAAGCGCTCCTTCCTTCCCCCAGGCCAACACTAGCTGCTTCAGGTTAGCTATCACTGTGCCGCAGCTCACAGGAGGGCACGTCACAATCTTCGCGCCTACAAGCCATCACTACCGTCCTCCATCACGCCAGACTCAATACTCTGATCTTTCCGCCAGAATGCCGCAAAGCCAAAGCGCACTGTTACGCCTACCTACAGAACTCCGGCTTCAGATCTACTCATACCTGCTGCCTAACGACGTCCACGTACGCCTCCGTAATGGCACGCTTCTTGCATCGGCCTGTATTCAGGGCGGTGCCCCTTTCCGTGGCGACACATCGAGTTACGACATTGAATATACCGATGAGACTTGGCAATTTCGCGTGCCCACGCCTGTGTACGCCCGTCGTCTACAGTCAACCTGGGGTCTTCATTGGTCGTGCGAGGAACACACCTCGTTGTCACACTTCTTGTTGACTGAATGTACGGAAATTCCCGATCTTCTGAACATCTGGCCGAGCGTGTAAGTACATTGGGAGACTTGGTGTCAAGCGCTCACACCACTAGTCGTAATGAAGTGTACGATCTCCTTGCTCGTACTTCGACTATTCATGTCTCCGACCTGAAACTCATCGATTATTGGGCAAGAGCTTCGGAGGTAACCATGCCAGTCCCTTCTGAATTAGTGAAGATGCCAGTATCGAATGTCAGTCGCCTGAGTATCACGCTCAAGCTTCCGTTAGCTTTCTTCCATTCAGCGCAGCGACTTTCAGGCAACGATCATACAACCTCAGACATAGGTCCAGCAACGCAGCCAGCACGTCTTTGGGAACATTTGGGCTTCATTCTGAGTCGTTTCGAAGCCCTCAAGAAGCTGGACTTGTGGCTCGATCATAATGAGCCGCAGTTCTGGGTCGTGGTCAACGAGCGCTCTACCCTCGACTCTCTTCTCACACAACTAAGTGCTCGTCCCAATCTCGACGTCACCGTCACGCTACCCATGCTTCACCCGAAATTTGAACAGAACGAGCGACATTACACCGAAGACAGCATCTCGGGCAACATTCGAGTGAACAGGGTGTTGAGGTCGAAAAAGCATGCTGTTATTGGTGCTCAAGGATGTATCGAGATTGTTGCATGCAACGACTTTCCATTGTTCTCCGAGACATATCAGGCGACGAATATGGGTTTGTCTGCGTTAGTCGGACGGGAGCGGGAACAATGGAAACAAGGGCGCGATGTGGAGAATCAGTACAGAATGCTTACGAGGGGTCGGTACTCAAATTGGTATCCCTAGACTGTAGAGTAACTAGTCATTGGCCATCGACTCGTTGCTTCTATCGTCACACATCATAGTGCTGACTGCATCATTTTCTACTGGTGTGAGCTGCAAAGGTGCGCGGAAATTCAGGGATGTCCTCACTTTCACCGCTCATGTGAGCGTCTGCCTCTTCGTCATCTTATTCGGCTCAATAACATTTCATCAACAACACTACCTGGTGAGTCTCAGTCCACCAATCTCTTCTTGTCACTGGATGATACCGCCGAAATCCTCAATCAGTCATCATCAACAACATGGCACTCAAACGCGAAGAGGCAATGCACGATTCGCGCGACGAAAGTGCGCAGAGCCGCTTTATACCTGTACGTACCGAGTGTCCATACGCGTATGGATTTGTCATGCTAACTTAGGAACGTAGGATCTTGCCAGTCTGAATGCCTTCGCTCAGGGCTACGAGCGGCTTCAACACGACAACGACCACCTCCGGAACGAGCTTGCTGAGCGCACCCATACTCATGATCAAGCCGTCACCCAACTTCGGAAGGCAGTGGAGCAGCAGGGTGCCGACCATGCTGCTACGCTCAAGGCGATGGACGAGGAGATGCATATACTGCGACGAGATAAAGAGAGTCTGAGAGAAGGCATCGAAGATATGAAGTTCCAGATCACTCCAGTCAACGACGAGGTTACTAGACTGAGAGCAGACAATGCGAGGCTTCGGCGTTGGTTGCTTAACAGCACCCGCGAGGTCAAACGCTTACATGACAAGATCAAAGATTGCAACAAGAGCTTTGAGGGCTACAAAAAGCGAGTGAAGGCTTTGGCGAGCGAAGATTAGGAAGTCATCAAAGTGTACACATGAACACCACAGTAGATGCGTTCTTTGTAATGAATGCAGTCAATTTGTCTCTATATGCACACTTCTAGATCCACCACAAGTATATACAATTGCGAAGCCAAGCGAGAGGACAGCCGGAAGGATTCCACGAGCTCTTACAGTACCGAGCTCCAATTCCTTTCCAGCATCTTATCCAACAACCCCATCGAGCGCTTATGCGGGCTGGGCGAAAGTAGAGCCAATGGGTCCGAACTTGATGTTGGAGAAGACAACAGTAGCGCCGGGGGAGTTAGCCTCAACATCCTCAGGCTTGCCAGAGTCGGTAGCGCAGGTACCACGGGCGGCACCAAGCTTGTCAGGGCTAGCATCGGTAGGGTAGGTAGAGTCGAGCCAGAGCATGTTGACCGCATGGTCATCCCAGAGGGACATGACGAGGACGTGTCCGCGAGCAAGCGAGGCACCCATGCCGTTGAGGCCACCGAGGGTCTTGAAGGAGTTTGTGTCGGCGAAAGTGGTCTTCTGCGCTTCACAGAAGGACTCGGTGATGGAGTTGCCAGGGACGCCCTCAATAGCGGAGTCGGAGTTCTTGAAGACGGTTCCGCCCTGGACGTAGAAGCGCTTGATCTCAGAGAGGCTGGAGCCAGAGCCGATGAACTGGGTGACGACGGTCATCTTCTTGGTGGTGTCGAGAGTCATGCCGGGGCCGTAGAAGTCCTTGACACCCATGCGGTAGCTGTTGAAGTCACAGCCGTCTTTGTCGCAGAGTCCGCCGTAGCGGTTGTCGCCGTCACCGCAGCTGACCTCGTCAGTGCACTCCTGGAGACCAGTGCCCTTGCAGGGATGGGGAGTGTAGGCAGTGGAGATGGAGTTGGCCTCCCAGATGTCCATCTCGGGGCAGCAGGCACCGATCTTGCCGGAGCCGGCGTTGGGGTCGGCGTCGGACGGGTTCCAGCCCTCAACGTTGGCTACACCGTTGATGAACTTGATGTCGTGGGGGCACTGCGAGTCGCAGTATCCGGTTCCGTACTTGGCACCGGCCTTGTTGTTGCCCTTGTTGATGCCACCGTCGGCGGCCATCTCGACGAAGTAGAGAGCACCGTTCAGACCGCAGGGTAGCTTGGAGACATCGACATCGAAGGTGAACTCCTTGCCGATGAGGTTGAACATCTGGTACTTTGTGTCGCTCTCCATGAGGTAGGTGCGAGAACCAATGTTTGCAGCGTAAGAACCCTTGGTGACGAACTGGAGGCTCAAAGAGTTGCTGCTGGTCTTGATACCGTAGGTGCCTAAGATCGTTAGCTAAGGGCTTCACATGTTGTGTCGTGGACATGTTAACGTACCAGAGTAGTCAGCACCGTCGATAGCGCAGTTCTTGGTGCAAGTGCTGCCGTCAGGGCAAGCGGTCGTGTTCCAAGAGTTGCCGTCGTAGCAGTTGGTGTATCCATTGGTGACATGAGACCAGCGCCAGTTGGCATCGAGCGTAATGGAACCCTGCTTGGTGGTGCAGCTGTTTCCACCGGTACCAGTGCAAGTCTGCCATGTCAACTTGGGGTGTGTCTCTGCTGTCGATGTGCCAGCCTGCTGAGCGCGGGCGGCTCCGAAGAGCGAGAGCGAGGTGAGGGCGAGTGTCCTGTACATTTTGGCTTCTTGAGTGAAGATATGTTGTTGGATGTCGAAAGTATTGGAGCGATGGGCTGACCTTCTTATACAACATTCTTGAGCTCATGGCTACTAATCAAAGTACTCTGCAGAAGTACCCATATGACTGTAAATTATTGCAAGGTGCAGGAGATCTACACCCTTGACGTCCCTCTATGCTGTTCTCACCAATGTTGTGAGAGGAACGGAACATCGGGAGCGCAAAAGGACGCTAGGAGTGCCAGAGTAATGAACTATAGATGAGGCATGCCCTGTTGCGCCGCATCGTGGGGTAGTCTGGGGTATTGCGGAGATCTGTGCGCCACCACGCCCGGGATCTTTGCCTTAAAGAGATAGTGTAGGGAGTGACGAATGGAGAAGCATATGGAGACGTACTATCAACCGTCGGCTTCACTGGTGGCCAAGTCTTAGCCTTTCGTCTCATTCGACAGTGATGGGTCAGCCTCGTATGTGAGAAGGCAAAGCTGTGGATCAGCACTCGTAGCTGTGTTCTTGATATTTGCATACAGTATTGTGGCTGGGTCACGAGTGACCGCATGTGCACACACCACCCAGGAGAATACATCATGCTGGCTTTCACAGTAAAAAGATACGCGACGATGTATACTCCAATGTGTGCTGTACCTTGGGTACAGCTCAGGATCATGTCGCGTTATTCTGTGCAATTCCACCCGGTGAGCTCAAAACCCGGGAGGAATAGATTGCTTTTCCCATGATCCATGGGCATATACGAGAGACTTTTCTAGAAAGATTTTCCGGACTGGGGGGCACACTTAATCTGTAGCAGAGGTCATGAGGCTCAGATCTTTTCCCGGGTAACGGTTTGGGCGTGAAATCCAATAAGAAGAAAGAAGACTGAGATACGTACTTCGCTAGAAGCGGCACAAGGATACAGTCAGGTAAGTTGCATTGTGCCCCTCCTTCTGTTGCTCGAGTCTCATTGTTGTAGTAAACAGCCATGACTGGCGCTGCTTGACATGTCGGTGTACGAATGGTATCGACAGAGACTGTTCAGCCAGTATGTTTCCCCGTGTTGGAATGCATGAGAAGCATTGAGGCAGTTTCACCAGGTGCCCTTTCGTGGTGGAATGCAGGTACCGAGTCGAAGCGCCGAACCCTGTAAGCAAAACGAAGCTTCCGGAGCAGACGGGACGAGATCCTCGTCCACAATTGGCTATGAATTTCAGAGCTTAATCAAGTTGCCCTGAGCCTTAGCAGAGTGGCTTCGACCGGATTTCTCGGTCGAACTGCTAGTGCAGAATAGATTGAGGTCCAGGGGTGCCCGCTCGCCAAGACCGGAACATCCCAAGGTTCGCCATGAATTTGTCCGCCTGCTAGGCCGTTGGCAAGCAAAGCTTGTGACAGAAGACCATCAACGCGTCGTTTGGATCGTGGGTTATGGCAAGTCTCCAAGTAGCGCTGCACCGCAAAGACGCAGATGCTGTCTCCCAGGATGGTTTGTTGTGCATGAGGTCCGAGGTTCAGCCTAATCATCCAGCAACGTGCAATATACGTTCCGGCCACTCGATATGAACTCTGCACCAGTACTCGACGATCACAGGTCCTTGGGGGTTGTAATCCAGGTGGGCGGCCGTTTTCCAGGGCTTAGCGAATCAGGTGCGCTGTCATATACTGCGACCGGGTATAACACATTGAGCCGCAATCATCGTGACAGCGTGACCTCACAACACGGCCCAGGGACACGAAACGCGCAGTTCAGTGGACATGCTTTGCTGGTACCGAATCTGCATCACTCTGCTTGAAACCGAGAGTGAGATACGTAGCCCCGGAAGCATAGATTGGTCGCATACCTCGGTAGTCTTCATAGTATTCTGGAAGCTGAAAGACTTGAGCCTTTCGTATGTTGTCACCTACGTACCGTATTCCGACGTGTATTGCAAGTGAGAAGTATCTATCTAGTAAGTAAGGAGATAGGTTGCGATGTTGTTTGGAGGTTGGACAGCCCCCAAAGTCGGCAGGAACCTCCAGCTTGGAAGGGTCCAAAGGCCTAGACCTCAAGAAGGCTAGCGTATCCCCCGCACCTTCCGAGGTCGAGACATATGGAAGTAATCACTTGAACTATTTTCCTTCTTTACGAGCCTCTTTCTGTTCAGTCCATCTAAGCAAGATCTTTTATGGTGTAGGCATATCGCCTGGTATGTGGTATATTGCCCAACTCCGAAATGTCTATATCTAAACCCACGCCTTGTACTCAGTACCATCCTTGCAATGAAAAGCGGCTGCTGGTACTCAAAGAATGCTAAATAGGCCTGGAAACCCAGAAGAACGTCTAGAAAATTCCATGCCCATGACGAGCATCTAACCGGATCAACTCTTCAGCAACATCTCTCGCATGATCTCGTGTGTCTTCAGCATACTTCCGAGCCACTGCTTCGTTCTCTTCTCTCGTCCGCCAATACCTGGGTCTTGCACTGGACCGTCTGATCTCATCGGGTCCTTCTTCAGAAGTATTCCTCCTCATGAAGGACCGATAGATGCGCGACTTGGGTGCGCTGCTAGCCGCCACAACCCCAGGGTGAGTAGCCTCTTTCGACCCATCTTCCACCTCCGCAGCCTCAAATGCACGTCTGACAGATCCCGCAGGTCGGCTGGTAAGTCTCACGAGACAAGTGTTGGCCCCACTACCCTCAGCACAGCTTCCCACGCCATGCGCTCTCCACCCCGTCTCGAACGGCGTCCTTCCCGTCCCCAGATCCCGCCAACTCTGCACCACCAACCTGACCTGTCCGCCTGTAGCATGCGAGAAGTCTTGGCTGGTCACGCTCCAATCGGTCGCACAAGTGGAGCAATTCTGCGTGAATTGGTACTTCCAACCTCGGCGGATGACGTTGTCGATGGCAGCCATGATACCTGTGTGGCCGTTTGGTGTATCGCGGTGGCCGGTGACAATATGTGGAAGGAGAGGCCAGAGCGTCTTTAAAAGGTTCCGATTACGCGTCGTAAAGGCGGGCAGAACAATGGCATAAGAACTATGCAACAGAAATCGACCGTTGACTATCCTGGCGGACACGGTGAGTTTGGTCGGAACGGGTGTTCTGGAGATGCGTGCCATGTCTTTCTTCTCATGGGTAAACGCAGATAGGGGAATGCCGTGTTCGTCTCCCCGTGACGCGCGGTTAATGGCAAGTCGAACGTGATGGAAGCGTAGTTTGTATCCATCTCCGCTGTCCAAGTAGCTGTTGTAGTCGGCGCAATCTCTTCTCTTTCTCGAATATTGCTGGCTCTTTGGCCCGTCTTCCGCAGCCCAAGCGTGAAATTTGTCACACCAGCCGCAGAACCAATGACCGGGAAATGCGCGCTCTACTACCGCCTCGATAATCTTTCGCTTCTCAAAACGATTCTTGCTTCCTTTGACATGGCGAGACAGAACTTCGGTGCCAAGAGCGTAGTAGATGTAGCGTCCGGATAGACAGAAGGCTGCTGCGGAGGCAGTGTCGAGATAGGTGTTGACTTGTTGGATCAGCTCGAGTGGGAGAGTAAGTACTGGAGCTGTCGGTAACGGTGGTGAGGGTTTGATTGTAGCCAGGGAATCTGTAATCTCGTACTCTTCAAAGGTGGAGTCTATGCTCGTTCGAGAGCTTGCGGTATCGGATGCCGAGTCGATGGTCGAAGGACGTGATGAGTGTGAGGAGCCGAAGCTCATAGATCGACGAAAGATGTTCATGCTTGCGTCTTGATCTATCTCTTCAGTACGCGTATGGTCGTTTTGAGGCTCTCAAATTCTGAGGCTGAGACCAATATAAGAGTACCACAAAGGGGCAACAGACGCTATAAGTCAACTGTGCCAGCGTATAATTTAATAACAAGGACTAGTCAACAACACATCAAGAAAGGTACCGACATAGCCGTTGCAAGCTCGACGCCGTCTCGCGCGCGGCCACTGCATCCCCTTATCAATGCGCCTGGCCTCCGGCCGCCAATGCACGACATGTCATCCAGCCGCGGTTTCTAACGGGGCCTGACAGTGGCACGCAACGCACATGGCACCTCGAGTCCAGGCACATGCCTACCACTTTGCCGTTGTCAGGGTCCAGCAGACGTATCCGGCGGTGTAGGTGAGACAGCCGTCATTCACCTGATGTGCTTGGGCTAACCGAAGTGGGGCTAGGTGCAACGTGTGTGGTGGGGTGACCCGGTGGACGCTGCTAAGCGCCCTGACTGCGCCGCCACGCCTGCCTTACAATCTTGGAACGCGTAAGATTTGGTGCCAGATGAGTCAGAGCTTAGGAGCACGTCGGGCGAGAGAATGTTATTGTTGTTCTTCCTTGTGGTGAAGAGATTAATTTGCGAATAGTGAACGCTATGCTACGCGAAAAATAGTGGTAGATCTGACGTGCTTCGCTATCGTGCGATGCCACCCGTCTAATGTACGCCAAAATGATAGAGGTATATGGTACACGTGCGCTTTTAGTTCGAGAATGCGCAACCCTAGGTCATGTCATTACAACTTCTGGCTCTGTCATAAATCATCCCCTCCCCTCGTCCACGGAGCCTGGTCGGCCAAGAATGCGCCTCGGAAGTGGTCTACTTGGGCAGCTCAGGGTTCAGCTTAAGCTGAGGTACTGGCGGACCAGTTCCAGCTCTCCGCCTCCGCTCGCGCTCGTTGAAACCAACAGGCTGGTCTAGTTGTGCGGTCTTCTTGAATTTGCCACCCAGGTTGCGCATCCAGTCCTCGCCCTCGCCGGCATCGGCACCGAGCCAGTACTTGGGCGCACCGCTGAGCATGACGCGTCCGAGCTGCCCCTTCCAGCCGCTTCCCTCTTCTTTGCCTTCTGCGAAAGGGTTCTCGGCGAGATCGTTTGCGGACGTCTGCATGTTGTTCGAGTTGTACCATGCGGCGGAGGAGGCGTTGGCGGCGATGTGTTGGCGGAGGCACTGGCGCGCGAAAGCCAGCATAATAAAGACGAAGTAGACACGAAGAGCCCAAAACCCAGAGATGAGCGAGATGCTCATAATGCTTCCGCTTTGGAAGACGGCGTTGCCTAGCCCCGCGCCAGCATCTCCGCCTTGTCCGACTGCTACGGCGTTCTGACCAGATTTCAGGCCGTCGGTGGGCTCCGCGATAATATCGACCTGTGTGACGTTGTGCTTGGGGCTGGTGAAACCCGCGTTGTCCTTCATGCCCGGCGATAGTCCGGCATTCTCGTCTGGGTGCGCGGCGAGCGTGTAGAACCACGCGATGCCGAAGAAGGCCGTGTATAACGCGTTGATGACCGAGTCGAGCGCATACAGGTGCGCCAGCAATACCGACTCAAAGGGACTTTGTAACCGGATGTGCTTGTACAGGAATGTGGTAGCGAGGAGTGCGACGGTCGAGTAGAGGTACATGGACAGCTGGAAGCCATCGATCTTCGCGCCGGTAAGAAGCGCAAGGAGGCCGTAGACTCCCGACGCCTTGTTTATCACTTGGAGGTAAGTAATGATCTCGGCCCCCGTCCGAAGAGACATCTTCTGGAGGAACGTCTGCGCGCGGGTCAGTCCTGTCCATTTTGAGGTTTAGATTCACTTACCGTGGGACGTGGGATATCGAGGATATTCATCGTGGCTATTATAGGGAGATGACGATGGGAGTGAAAGAGTTTGGGTGACGATGTTCGTTGTTGCAAGGCGCAAGCACGGCGGAAGGCCCGGGAGATTTAGCGCCCCTTTCAATACGTGCGAGTCGTGGTCGTGCAATCCCTTCATCTATGGATGTACTTTGTACCATGATTCGCGCAGACTTCATTCACACTGGATTCATTGCATTTGCGTTAAATTTCCATATCTCCTTTAGGTTTCATTGTTGGTGTTGCGCCTATTATTTCGAGTCTCGCCGAGTTGTGCGCCAGCTATGACGCACTCGCGACAACATCACGCGGCGCGCCCTTCACGCTTACTATACCAGCTCCATTTTCATACTTCGCCCTCGACACGTTAGGTAGTCACCAAGCTTCAATCTCCAGCCAGCTCACCCATATGCCGCCATCAGCCATATAGATAGCTTTGAACTTTTGTGAACATGACTTCGACCTAGCGATCCTCCGAAGAGACAAGGTGACGAACCAGCTGATTCTGAATTCCGGCCCTCGTTTGTTAGTGCAGTAAAGAAGCGAACAAGACGTGCAACTTACTCGATGTACAACTACAGAGTAGACTTCTTCTTAGGGCTAAATGTAGCAAGTCCTTGGCTTCTACCTTGGTAGGATGACGTAGCTTAACATGCAGCCCTCATCTCTACAGCACGTACATGTCACATCACATTGCATACTATTGAAGACGAACATTCAGAACCAGAACTCTTCTAGACTTACACTTCGTATTTGCCTTCATCTTTACATACATATCACATAGATCAGTTTCAGCATGGCAGACTACCAACCTCCAGCGCCAGCGCTACAGGAGCAGGATCGCAAGGGCAAAGTTGCCATTGTCACGTAAGGCTTCACTTTCTTCAACGATGCCGCCAATACCACTTCGAGGGGATCAAACTACTTGACACTTTTTTTTCATGATCATCCCATGTCGCATCACGCATTTCATCGGCTTTCCATGTCAGCATGCGTTCCACCAAACCCCCCAGCCAACAATACTCAAAATATCTAACAATCTTGAAGGGGAGCATCAAAAGGCATAGGCCGCGCTATATCGCTCTCCCTCGCAACCCGCGGCTGTTCCATCCTAGGAACCTATTCGTCTCCCCAATCCGCCCACATCTTCGACACTCTCTCAAGCACAATTCGCAACCTCTACGCTGCCACCGAAAGCAAAGCTCCCACTATACGGGGCGTAGCCGCAGACATAACATCTCTCTCCTCCGTCGACACTCTTCTCAAAGCCCTAGCAACCCACTTCCCGGGTCAGAGTCTAAGCATACTCGTTCTCAACGCATCGCATAATACGCGACCTAGACTGGGCAGCGCAAGCGAAGATGATATCACCAACTCTTTGATGGGGAATTTGCACTGGCCCATCGTGCTCATGGAGAAACTGGTCCGACAAAGTCTTTTCACGCCACATAGCCGCGTCGTAGTCATATCTTCCGACCGCGTACGAGACCCATCTCCCGGATCCGGTTTATTCAATGCAACACGTACAGCCATGGAGTCGCTGGTACGCTCGTGGGCCATCGAGTTGCCGCACAGCTTTCCAGGCACAACGGTGAATGCTGTGTCTGTTGGGCTGACGGACACACCTGGACTACGCGCCTTTCCAGCCGAAGCCGTGCAGGCGTTGAAGGAGCAGAGGTTGCCTAAGGTGAAGGTTGTTGAGGGAGGAAGAATGGGTCAGGCGGAGGATGTGGCGGATGTTGTGGATTTCCTGATTAGTGAGAAGAGTAGGTGGGTTACTGGGAGTGTGGTTGCGGCGAATGGAGGGGCTGAGTGGGTTGGTGGGAGTTCGTAGATGATTGTGGGTAGGAGGAGTTTCGTTTCCTGTTCTCTACTTCAAGGTATGTGTGAGATTATGTGTTGTAACTCAAATGAAATGATGGATAACAATTACACTCTGCATTTGGAGTACAAATCGTAAGCGTCAGCCTTCTTCGTCCTGTCGGTCGCCCGTCCAACAAAGCGGGCCTCGATTCATTGGTATAGTACAGGTTTAACTCCTTGACGTTTCGTCGTAAGTCTGCAACCCGGGCTGTATGATGCCCTTGGCTGCTATATTACAACAGACATCAGGTATGTAGGAGAATATATACAACTCTACCCCAAATCTGCAAATTGTTTATACATGCATTCATACAACGCTCGTCTAATTCACGGAACGTACGGCTTCGCTAGAGTCGGCCGCATACTGTGCTCGGCTTTTGAGAAGGTCGTTGACTTCGTCCGAAAGCTCCGCAGTTCGCTCCTGGTGTTCGGTTGCGAGCGAATCCAGCTTGGTGACTGGTAGATCATCAGGGTATTCGTTTACATCGTCGGTAGATGCTGGCTCGTCGGAAGCCAGCCGCGGATCGGTGAGAATATCCTTCGCCTCCTCTGGCATGCCCGGCGGTGCAGAAATGTGGTGCTTCAAAGGCGCAACCTGGGGGCCGTCGACTTCGCCGGTTTCCTCAGGCTCTGATACCATCGATCTTCGTGCTTGTTTTCTGGTCGTCTTCATCCGCTTCCTCGCTTGTTCGATGAATGAGAAGTCGTTCAGCGTTTTCTCGATCTGATCCTCAACGAGTTTCTTTGTATGGTTGGCCAGGGCTCTGGTGGTGAAAACGTTTGGAAATCGGTAACTCAGCCATAGATAGCATACCAGCATCTTGTGCAGTTCCTCCAGATCGTGGAGATACTTGCGTTCAGCAGACGAGGGCCGGTCCATGACGCTGAGTGGCAGAGTGTCAAGATCCAATAGGCTACCCGACTTGCCTTCAGCAATGCATTCAGCGAGGTGGCGCAGAAACGCTTTCTGGGACGGTTGGCGCATGTTGATGGGTGCGGCACATAACATGATTCGGTCTTGAATGCTGAGATTTTTGACCATGTGAATGGCGTCAGCAATCGCCAGCTGATCTTTTAGTGCACAGAGATGGAATCGAGGGTGTAACTCAGAGATCTCATGTAGACGTAGCATAATGTATCCGAAAGGTGTTCCTGGGGGGAAGTAGTTGGCGAACCGCTCAACGATAAGCGACGGCGGGAAGAGGCCGGCTGTGCTGATGTGTTCGGGCTCACGTTTCATGCCCAATTTCAAGGCCGCGTGATCGACTTGGTCGAGTGTGGTGACCCATCCTATAGTCTTCTCTTCAGGTCTCTTTGCCTCGACAGTATCGGGTTGCTTGTCGTCTAGGCCAATGGCGGGGTCAGCGGCGCCGTCAACAATCGAAGCCTGTTCGGAGTCTGTATTGACTGCTTGCTGGGCAGTTTTGTAGCGCCCGGCACGGCCGGCGATTTGTTTGATCTCGGAGATCTGCAGGGGCACGTAGTTCAGGCCGTTACTCTTGATAGTAGATTCGAAAATGACACGCTTGATAGCACTACATTGGTTAGCATCCGGGTATCGAAAGTCAACATGACACACTGCTTACAGGTTGAGACCCATGCCGATGGCATCACTCGCCACGAGGTAGTCGTAGTCATTGTCTGGGTCGTTGAATAAGCGGGCTTGTTGAGCTCTTGTCTCAGGTGGCAAGCCTCCGTATACGATAGCGCACTTCTTGCCTGTCTTCTTCTCCACCTCGCGTCGCAGCGCATGTATGCCCAGGACGGTGAAAGCAACGATGCAATCACCTTTCTCAAGGAGTGTGAGGTTGCCTCCCAGACTCTTCGGCTGGATCTGAAGTGGCGTCAGACGCTCGTACTCGTGTACGTGCACTTTATCGCCAACAAGAGCGCAAAGCTCGCGCATCAGTGGTACTGTGCGTGCTTCTCCACAGAGATGGATTTCTTTGGCCTGTAGACCCATGAAAGCCTGTGTCCATGCCCAGCCTCGTTCCTGGTGGTTGATCATCTGTATCTCGTCGATGACAGCCACATCAAATCTGGTATTGAGCGGGGCCATTTCGACAGTACAACTGTACATGTTGGCTTGTGTGTCCTCGGGCAAGCGCTGCTCTTCACCCGTAACCAGAGCGCATGGCTTGCCCTTTGCATTCAGGCGCGTGTAGACCTCATGGGCGAGGAGCCGCAGCGGACCAAGATAGATGCCCGAGTTGACTTCCTCCAGACGCTTCAGGGCGTGGTACGTCTTGCCAGAGTTGGTCGGTCCAACGTGCATGTGTACTGTCCGCGTAATCTCCCGTGTCGCTGGATACCATTCGGCTGGGTAGCGCAGGTCCGCCACCTCCTTCTGGTTCTCCGCCTCGGCCGTCGTGAAGCGGCCGCCACATGCTTGCGCATAAAACAAATATCGTAGCCTCTTCTCAAGTGTGTTCTTTCTCCGCTGGGCCTCCTGCACCAACGTGACCAACTCACGCGGGGCCTGCTTGATCCATAGGGTGATGGACCGCTCGAAGGTAGTCCATTCCTTATCGAAGTCTTCGCGGCTTATCTGGAGTCTGTCTAGAAATTCTGGCGTGGCGAATTCCTTGTGCAGGGTGTCTAGTTTGTCGCGGACTATGCCTATGGGTATTGACGACTTGGAAGATCTGGAATCGCCTCCTTTGGATAGTTTACCCTGCTGAAGAGGATTGAAATGCGTCGTCTTCGAGGGCTTGGCTGGAGCGGAACGGTGTGCGGCTTGGATTCGGGGGAGAAGGTTTTGGGTTCGCGATCGAGAGCGGGCGGCGAAAGAGCAGATGAGACATAGCGAACTCCGTCGCGCCGGCAGCAGATGCATGCCAATGGTGGGTATCATGCGGGAGAGGAAAGAAGAAAAGACAGAATTCAAAGCGCCAGGCGCCTGTACAAACGAAAGACGAGAGGAATGTTCAAGTCAACGACGTAATGCCGAATAAAAAGTTGCCAAGCATCTACCCCAGTAGTACAGTAGGGACCTCCGGCGGCGCCTGCCCGCCGCAGCTCGCGACGCAACTCTAGCTGAGACGCGCCTTCCTCACCACCGCCGCGACAGCCCAGCACCACGTGTGCCTCGCCCCGACAGAGCTGGCCCACACACGCCCTCGTCTCCGCATCACGTTACCGCTGCCGCTTCCACCGCGTCGCCTTTTCTCAGCGGCATTCGCTGCGATACCCCGCCAACATGGCTTCCATGATCGATATCCAGCGCGACCGTAAATTGACACCTCGAAACTCCTGAGGAACACGTGCTGATAGGCCACATAGTCATTCTCAACTCGATCAAGCAGACCACGCGCGGCGACGTATGAATCTCCCCCCAATGCGCCTGCACTCCGCTAACGGCTACCGCGCAGTGGAAGATACTCATTGTGGACGAGGACAGCCAGAAGCTCATCAACAACGTGGTCAAGGAAGATGACATCCTCAATCTCAACATCACAAGTACGCGACTCCGCATGCTATCCATACGCAAGATCCTAACCTCGCAGACATCGAGCGCATCGAGGACCGGCGGCAGACGATCCGCGACATGGACGCCGTGTACATCATCACGCCCAAGCCACACATTGTCGACTGCATGATGGCCGAGTTCGACCAGCGCAGATACCGCGGCTTCTTTCTGATATGGACAACGCTGCTACCACCACACCTCAAGGAGCGCATCGACCGGTCGCAGATGGCGCGCGAGCAGATTCGGAGCTTCCGCACAGTGCACCTCGACTTCCACCCTCAGGAGTCGCACCTCGTCACCTTCAAAGACCCATGGAGCTTCCCCATCCTCTACCACCCCGAGTGCAACAACCTCGTAGTGCGCCACATGGAGGATATTGCCGAAAGAGTGGGTAGTCTGCATCTTCTGGCAAGCTTCTGCTGACAGCTCTAGATCACCGGAATCTGTGTCGCGCTCGGCGAATACCCCATCATCCGATACTACCGACCGCGAGCTCCAACCCACGAGGCCAGCGTCTTGTGCTCACACCTCGCCCGCTTCGTCCAAGACAAGCTCGACATGTACGCGCAGTTCAACCAAGACTTCCCCCCGCAATCGAACCGACCCCGCGGTGCCCTCTACATCACCGATCGATCCATGGACCTCATGGCACCCTTCCTCCACGAGTTCACATACCAGGCAATGGCCATGGATCTGCTGCCTATACAAGACAGCGACAAGGTGACCTACCGCACCATTGTCAACGAAGAGGATCCCGAGGCGGAAGAGAAGGATATGGAGATATCCGACAAGGACAAGATATGGGTGGAAAACCGCCATCGGCACATGAAGGACACTCTCGACAAGCTGATCAGCGACTTCCAGAAGTTCATTGCCGACAACCCCCATTTCACAAACCAAGACGCCCAGAACGCTGCTGGCATGAATGGACTGAATGCAATCAAGGATATGATCGCTGGTTTGCCCCAATTCCAGGAGATGAAGGAAGCCTACTCGCTACACCTCACCATGGCGCAGAAGTGCATGGAGATCTTCCAGAAGCACAAGCTCCCGGATCTGGCTTCAGTGGAACAGGTGAGTCCCATCAAAGCTGGGTCACGGCTGTCGCTAACCTTTCCAGTGCCTTGCTACCGGTCTTGACGAAGACTACCGTAAGCCCAAGAACATGACTGACCAGATTGTGCGCACATTGGACGATGAAGAGATAACGCCAGCTGACCGGCTACGCCTTATCGCGCTCTACGTAATCTTTAAGAACGGAATACTACCAGCCGACCTCCAGAAGCTCCTCTTCCACGCACAACTGCCACCCCCTGACGGTGACGTTATTCGTAACCTCGATCTTCTTGGTGCGCGAGTCGCCAGGCAACTGAAAGAGAAAAGAGATGCACAGCCACCACTCTTCCCACCGAAAGCGGCCCCACCTCCAAATACTGAGGACTACGGTCTATCAAGATTCAACCCGGCTCTCCAGGACATGCTAGAGGAGCACATCCGCGGCAGCTTACCCCAGGACGTCTTTCCCTTCACTAAGATGTCACCTGATGATGTCGCCAGCATGGCACAGGAAAATACTGCGCCTGCTTCCCTCCGCTCCGCAAAACCGACATGGGCAAAATCGCGACTTGCGAGCGCTGAGCCCCGTCAACGCGTCATCGTATTTGTCGCCGGCGGTGCAACCTACTCCGAGGCCCGCGCCTGCTATGATGTCTCGAACAAAACCTCGAGAGACGTCTTCCTCGTCACCTCACACATGATGAAGCCGCAGCTCTTCCTCCGCCAAGTCGGCGATCTCAGTCAAAACCGCCGCAGTCTGCGTTTACCCATCGATCAACCGCAGCCTATAGCCCCAGCACATTTGTTCGAGAAGCCTGAGCCTCCGAAGCCAGCACCACCGCCTGCTGGTACAAAGCCTCCCATGGCCGGGGGCTTGCCGTCCGGACCCAGAGTCGCTGGCCCAAAACCCCCAACAGCAGCCATGGGTGCCATCAACCTCAATTCCAACCCGCAAAAACACAGTCCTTCACCGTCGCAGAGCAGCACCACGAAGCCCGGCAAAGAAGAAAAAGAAGGCAAAGAGAAGAAGAAGAAGAAGTTGCACCTGTTTTCTTCAAAGCATTAGTGAGGCTTGTTAACATTTCCTGCCAGGGCGCTGCATACCTTTCTGGCGTTGTTCTGCTTTGTTCACAGCGAGGATTGATCTTGCTTCATTTACAATATTTGCGAGCTAACTTGCATGGCATGGCGTTGGATGGCGTCTGAGAATCTTGTCTGGCGATTGCCCAAGGTGTACAGCTAGAGACAAGTACTTGGGATTTTGCTGTTGGGAAATAGAAGTAAAGCTGGTTGCCTCTACAGTAGGAAACAAGATTACAAAAATCATACATCATATCATCGCTTTAGCCATGCTATGTTTTCTGGTTGATCAGAACGTGCCACATCTTTTCAACCCACGTACCCGACGTTTCTTCTTCCTCGGTATCGGACAGCTCAGTGCCACACTCCTCGCTCTCATCTCCTCCCATCTCTCATTCCCCTCCGACTAGTACGCCCATTTAGTCGAGTAATCCCTCGGACTAACAACAAGCCCCTTCCCCTTACTCGCTCCCCTATACACAGCTTCCAATATATCAATCAACTCCTGCTTCGTCCCAATCGGAAAGTTGATCTTATTGTTGTTGCCTGTGCCAAAGTCAACCTGCATGTGCTTGTTCCGCCAGAAGAACATGACGGTGCAGGGATCGTAGATTTCGTACATGCCGTTGAAGTCGGGGACTTGCTGGTGGGGTGGGGGTGTTAGCGAGGTTTGGAGATGGTGGGATGGGTGGGGAGGGAAGGAGGAAAGAAGAGAAGGAGGGAAGGAAGGAAGGAAGGAAGGAAGGAAGGAAGGAAGGAAGGAAGGAAGGAAGGAAGGAAGGAAAGTACCTTATTGTCGACTACATAAATGACGACCCAGTCTTTGACTGCGTCTACAATCTTGTATAGCATCTCGTCCATCTCCATGCATTCGGGTGTGTAGTCGGTGCCGAAACGGAGGCAGACTATGCGGGCTTCTTCGCTGAGCTGGTGGGTGTTAGTTTGGGTGTAGTGAGGGTCGCGTCTGAGAGTAGGTAAAGTCGAGTTGATGAGTGTAGTGAACGTACGATGGCTTGATCGACGTGCCACGCTGAAGGCAGGTGCTGCAGCATTACTGAACCCATGGTGACGAGATTCAATTGACCGTGTATATCGAAGATGTACGAGGAAGTAGATTAGAAAAGATGTCGAAGACGTTGTTGTGCGAAACAGGTGAGAGAGAAGTTAAGGAAAGCACGATCTGACAGACCCATCACACGCCGCATCTACCTCCGTTTGCACCTTCCAAACCTCGTTTGCTCTCAGCCGCAGACATCCCCACCTGCACCTGCCCAAAAAGCTCTTTCCATGAACAACTACGCATCATTCGCTAGAACAATGAAACCACATGCCGTAACTCATCGGTACAAACAAGGCAAACTCAATCCCATGCCAACAGCCTAATCCCTCACTCCACCCGCATAATACTCCCCCACACTCCTCTCAGGCGCATAATATCCCGCACCCGTCCGCTGCTCCACATTCCCTGTCCGCTTCGCCACCATCTCCTGCACAAAAGCCTCGTAGCTCTCATAGGGCCGCCCGCCCTCCTGTGGATGTCTTGCCGCCCAAGCCAGGAACGCGGCTTTCTGTTCTTCAGCCGCCTGTTGCTGTTGTTCCAACGACAATTTCTGCTTCTTCGTTTTCTTGCTGTTGACAGCGGGCTGTGGGCGGCCGGTTATGGGGTTGCGACCAGCTGCCTCACGCGCTTCGGCTAGAAGGTCGGTGCTCGTGGGTTCGTTTGCGCGCTGTTGGTTTCCGGTCACGGGGTCACGGCCAGCTGCTTGACGGGCTTCGGCTAGGAATTCACTGTTTGGGGCCGGGGTTTTGGGAGCGGTGTATTTTTTCTGGTATGGATTCGACTTTCCGCGCAGTTTGTTGATAGGGGAAAGTAGGGCTGATGTGATGGAGAGACCCGCCATGCTGCTGTTGACGGGGAGCGAGCCTTCACGCCTTTGCGACTTTCTTCTCTAGTTGCTGTAGGTATCGAAATTTGGACCGGAACCTCTCACAAGCTGCTCTCGTAGTCTCTAGAATGCCGATGCGGGTTGCCGATGAAACTTTACGAAGAGATGTAGTCGCCAAGGGCTCACTCTACTGCAGGTTGGCGTCGGGTTTGAGATTCTATTGCGCGTTCCCAACTCTTTTGAATAAATCATCCGACACTACTCTATACTTGCTGTTGTCTGAGACAGGAACACAACCTGGTTGGAGCCTGGGAAGTGTCAGGGGTCTGGGCGGTAAGGCCTCCAGGCTAACCGCATTGAGGACAAGCAATGAAGAACCGGTCAAGTGCCAATAAGTCCAGTCGTACCGATCAGGTGCGGATGTCAAAATTGATGGAGGTGTATATTTGGACAGCGAAAGCAACAAGCTACTAGAGATAGCCTATAACTATGCTCTCATCTTGCGCAAGGTACAAGAAGCTCCCGCCCTCCCGATACAGAAACCCGACCGGAAAGATCAGGGTGCAACGGTACATCCGAGCCAATACTGACTATCGGTGTACAGTACGAAGAATCGAACAAACGTGATAGTCCAAATGTATTAAGCGTGAGACCGCTGAAAAGAAAGGTGAATAGCAAAGACGCCCAAGACAAGCTGAACAGTCAGCCGACCAAATTACCACATTCTGCCCTTACCCTTACTGCCAGCTGCTGGACTGAGCGGTGGAAAAGCATCCTCAGCATCCTTTCGACTCTGCTCTTCAGCAAGACTCAGTTGCATAGCAAATTCCAAATCTGACATCTCGCTCTCGTTACTTGAACCAGCAGCGGCCTTACCCTTCCTGGGCGTGCTCTTTTGGGAGCGGGATGGCGGAGACTTTTTGCTTTTGGCGTACTTGATCGGAATCTCGAACGCAGAAGGAGGCGTAGAGGCGGGTTCATAGCTGGCAGCTCCGGAGCTGTCGTTGAGAGAAAGACGGATGGCTTCGGCGATGTCGGCATCCAGTTCGTCGTCGTCCTTGGTATCAGGCGATGAAAGTTGACCTTGGACGCTCGCCTCTGGCGTTACAGGCTCACTCTTGAGGGCACTGCTCTCGCGCTCGATGCGGCGTAGTTCGTCTGCCTCAGCAGCCTCTTGTGAAAGCATCGCAGCGTATGCTAGAGCTTCCTCCTCACTTAGTAACTCTGTGCCAAAACGGCCTGCCAAACGCTCGGCCTGCTTGTGACGCTCTTGTCTATCGCGCTCCAACTCAAACTGTTCGTTGGCAATGTAGTTCTTCAGGTTGACTCTGCCTGTACCGGCGAAGCGCTCTGTGGTATTGTTACTTCCACGCTCGGCTCTTCGCAGCCTGCGTTTACTGCTTCTATACTGATCGGCTGCAGATGAGCTGTAACTCCAGAATCGAAGCTGATTGCCAAGAGACACTGCACCACGCAAGACGGTCGGATCAGGATCCAGACATACGGCACCAGCAGCAAACATGTTGATACCGACACCTTGAACGGAAGCCTGGGCCTGCACAAGCTGTCTACGGGCACGCGACGCATGTCGAGAGTGAAGTGTTGTAATGGGCGACATGCTCGAAGCCAGTGGATCCCATGCCTGTACCAAACCGTCGTTTCCACCTGCTACGAGATAGAGTGAGGTGACAGCCACGCAGGATATCTCTGGCGAGTCAGTATAGATGATACGAACTGGCTCAATGTCGTTTGTGTACTCCGACGAGCGCGACGTAGGTGCCCGGACATCCCAAAGCAGAACCACTCCAGACTTGGTACCAGCAGCGATGAACCTTGCGCGTTGTCCAGGAATATCAGAGGGAGAGGCGGGCTGGCTTGCAACAGACATCGGAGAAGAGTAAGGCGAGGATGCAGTCGAGGCAGTCGAGAAACCAAGCGCAGGATCCTCAAACAAAGTCAAAGTGGCAAAGGTAGAGACGTCCAAAGCAGTTGTAGTGACCTGAGTGCTCTTGAACCCACCGAAAGTCAACTTTGAGCACCTCCATTCTTCGAATAGAGCGGCTCGTTCTGGTGAACTTGTGCCCGAGATGTATGAAGAGCTGCGACCACGAGGAGGCTTTGTAGAATCTGCGCCAGGGCCGCCGAATAAAGATGTAGCTTGCGCAGGCTGAGGCGTAAAAATGCGACTTGAGATGTTCGCACTCTTGTCCTTTTCGTCAATCTTACAACGAGTGAAGCGTTTGACATCGGCGACGTCTCCCTCTTCAAGCCCGCATTCGAAGACCACTACGGATTCTCCAGCATGATTTCCATCGTCTCCAGCAAAGTCAACCTCGAGCGTTCGTCGCATATCCCATCCAAGGCACGCTTTTCGAAAATGTTTTGGCTGCTTGCGAAGATATTCTTGAATCTCCCTTGTTTCGGCGATGATCTGATCCTTGCTCAAACACATGCCATCCCATGAGGTTCGCGGCGAATAACTACCGTCGACATCGGCATCGCTGTACGGGTCAGGCCTCGCAGTACGTCGGCTGGGCTCCGCCAAGTTCCAGTATACGGTGCGGCCAGTGAGCCAACCCAGATATTCCGAGTAGTGCTCAATGTCGCCTTTCGTGGCCTGGCTGCGAGTTGGAAATTTGGTGAGATAGAAGATCTCGCCAAGTGCGTTCAGAGCGACCGCCCAAATGCGGTTCTGAGCATAGCGCTTGGTTGAGTATTGTTCGTCGACGGCAATGGCAATGATAGGCACTCCTGGGCTGAGAACCCAGCGCGCAGTCAGCTCCCCACGCTGTACACGGGATGAGCGAAGACCATCTGTACCGATGCTACAGGCACTGACTACACCAGCTGCAGACCCCATCATCATGCCTATCAAGCCATCCGAAAGGGTCGGGATCGTGTTTGACTTGGCGATCCAAACGCTGCAGATAGCACCACCGTCGATACCCAGCTTTGGTATACCGACTTCAGGCATAGCGAAGTCGGTGGGCTCAGCTATAAATCGACCACGCATCTCCTCAAGGGAGCGGTAATAACACGAGCCCTCGGGACAGCCCTGGCCATAGATCATGCCGTATGGCTGCGATATGTCCATGACATTGGGCCGCCCGACGACCTCTCCTGAGCCCAGACCCCACTCTGCGGTACCCGGAAAGCGTTCTGAGAATTGGCCATAGAAGTGAGGGTCGCTCTGTCCCCAAGGATCCACTTTGCCAGTCATCGGATCGCTGCTGGTCACCATGCCGATATCGTCTGCACCATGGATAAAGCGCGGCATCTTCTTGTTCAAACCGGTTCCGAACGTGGCCTGCAAGTGGTTGATGATAGTATACGTTTTTGCATCGTAGGTAATCATCGGGGTGATGGTCTGCATCTGAGATGCGCGGGACGGTGTCGCAGGTACCTGTACAGGCTTGCCCCTGACCAAAGACCGCAATAGTCTCGTGCGTAGAATGTACTCGCTTCTCCACGATGCCAGCGCAGTGAGCCTGGTGAAGCGTCTCTTCTCTGATCGCACGACTGAGCCACTGCCCTCAAGGGCTGAACGAAAGGCGGCATCTTCGAGTGAGTGTGGGCCAGGGAAGTAGCGACCGAATGCCACCTGCCAGGCGTGTGGGGTAGTGACTACATCATGGAAGCGGCGAGAGACTAGGGATACGGCGGCGAGATCGTTTGGTGACAGGTGGGCGATGGCATGGATCAGAACCTCTACGCATCGTCAGCTCTTATTCGTGCATTCGCGTTCCGCCCGTTCTGGAGGCATTTATACACACCATTAGGCAGGTTCGCGATAGGCGAGCTCTTATCGCTGGGCTTCTTGTTGCTCTTGACGATCTCGAAGAGGGGCCCATCAGCAGGCTTTCGCGGTGAAGACTTCAGCGCATTCTCGTATTCGGTGATCCTGTCCCTCGGGGGTGGCGAGGGAGACGCGACGCGCTTCAGTCCATCTGTTTCCACGGTCCCGACTGCAGTATCGGCCTCTGAACGCGTCGCATCGCGTGCGAACCCGCGGGGTTGTGGCCCAGACTCTCCCCGCAGCTCACCCGAGTGAGGCTGCAGAGAGACCTGGAAGTCAAGGCTGCGGCGCTGTCCATGCTGGGAGGTGGTGGCGGTGTCGAAAGAGGTTTGCTGGTACGAAACGTTTTGTGATGCGTTGATGGGCTCTGGCTGCATAAAATTTTGGGTCTGGTTCTTGGGTGAGGGCAATCGACCGAGCTCGTTGGAAATGCTCAGTCAGAGGATGGAGGTGTGGGCGAAATTTGGATAGTTTGGTAACTTTGGAGTGGAAGGGAGTTCGGGGGGTACAGTTGATGACTCGGTTTGCGTTGCCAAGTCGGCGGTGATCGATATGACGATCGCCACTCAGGAAGCTACGAACGTGGGGGGAACAAATGATACTAACAGTTTGCAGCCACAGCAGTGGGTCGACTATCACATGGCGCGTGGAAACGTCACCACTACCTAGGTGCGGCCTAAGTACCTCAATGTAGCCGGCCTCGTTCCGATAAGTTCCGAAGCAACAGGTGCCTTACCGTCTACACTTGTGTAAAAGTGAAAGATAGCGATATTCCCATGGTAATGTAGACGCCTATGAAGTAAATTTTCGATCGATTCTGGTATAATGTGCTATCATGTACAGGATCATGCAAACAAATGTTCAACGCCAGCCCTATGCAGACCTCTATAACCTCAAGGCACGAAAAGACGCGAGTATGCAGCCACATTAGTCCTGCAACACACACACGCCGTATAGTTCTTCGAAGCCAACCCCACCCGGCAATCGTCGCACAGGCTCAAGCACCCACATGGCCACACCAGTACTGTCCTTGGCGACATCTGGCAGACTACACATTGCGGTCCTTCTGAGCCCATACCTTCTGCACCCGTGTCCCAGCTTCCAGCTGTACTTGCGCCTTGCGGCGCCGTTGCGCTCCGACGACTGAGAATAAGATCTTCTAGAAGCTGCTCTTCTTCTTCAGGCGTCATGTTGACGCCGCCGCTCATCTTGTAGCGTGATGTTGTGAGAATCTTCGCCTCTTCGCGCTCAAGAGCTTTGCGGTACTGCGAGCGTGTCATGATATTGGAGCTCTGGAGGTGGCGAGACAGCAGCTTGGCTTCTTCGCGATCCTCACTAGATTTCGGATCCAGAAGTTGAGAGAGTCTCGAAAAGTCCATTGCGTCGTCAGGGATAGGTGTTGCTTCCCGACTTCTCTGGTAAGTTGCACGCGTAGGTGTTCTTTGACCCTCGTCCATGTCTGACCACTCGTCGTTGTCTGTTGTGGTAGCAAATGACACTACACTAGTCGTGTCATCATCTTGCGAGTCAACATAGTCTCTGGTGTTGTCAACGTCATTCCATAAGCTACCGTTGCGCCACCAGGAGTACAGGTAGTCGTCAAGACGTTCTTCGGAATCTTCCCCGTTGGGTCCCGAATAGAACCCACTCTGTCGGAGCCTCTCCTTCGCGAAGACTTCAACGTCAAAATTCCGGTCCTGGCGAATTCGAGACCGATCATCTGTGGTAAGCCATGACTCTCTTGCCAACGCTTGATCGGGGTGTCGCGGAGCATACATCTTATCAACATGATCAGCGTGGAACCCAACAGCGCGTTGTAGCCATCTTGGTCGATAGCTGATCGAGACTTTAGTCAACGCCCAGTCCGTGATCCTTGCGAGACTAAGTATAATCAACTTTGATATACGGAAGAAGAACTGATAGGTCTGCAAGTAGCGACTACGTTGTTGGATCGCAGGATCATTCTGTCCAATCGTTGGTTCAGTGGATGCCTGTACTCCTCGCGTTTTACGTTCTTTTGCATAACCTGACAGTGATGTATCCGTTCTGACATCGTTGAGTTCGTCAACTACCTCGATGCCTTGCGCGAATGTGTCGTTCCTGAGCTCGGACGGGATGTTGGTGATCATCTCTCGTGTTCTTCTTCGCCGAGCGAGTAGTTCCTGCAACCTCTGCTTTTCGAGCCAGGTCATAGGGTGCACATTGACCTTGGTTCCTTCGTTGAGAAACACGGCTTCACTGGCGGATGTGAGAATGACATAGCCTACCTTGAGTATAGTCGTATAGAAATCTTCGTGCCAATTGATAGTCAAAGGCGTAATCGAGGACAGATGAATGTTGGCATGTAGATTGCCGTAGGCGGATGCAAATCTCTCTCTCAGAGATAGATTGTCGGCATGTCCTGCAGGTGGAGAAAGTACGGTGATGATGAAGGCCAGCAGGTAGATTAGTGCGCATATCGCGATGCCCACAAGTATCAACAAGTGCGGGATGAATCCAATGATGCATACAGTAGGAAATCTCAATATCCCCACATAGTGGTCTGGATCAGTGACCATCGTTGCTAGACGAACACAGCTCCATGCGAAAGCTGACATATAGGCAAGTCCGCAGATTGTTGTCGTGACGAGTCGCCATCTAGAGCGCACTCCAGCGATGGCTAACAGGTTGCTCATGAAGTGGCTGAAACTAGAGATGAGGGAAATCAACAGCACTTCCGGTGGTACATTGGCGATCTTGGAGAGCTTCGACCTCGGAATCGTGAAGGATGTGCCATCTGGAGTGAAGACAGACTTCGGTTTGAAGAAGCGTACGGAATCGACCGCTAGCGGCTTCGTGACGACAGCCTCAGCCTCTGCAAATGCGAGCGAATGTTCGAAGATGGTCATGCCGACTTCCTGGATCGGGCGTCTTCCTTGCAGGGCGCATGCCAACGTATCGACGAACTGGCCAAATCCAAGGGTCACAAACATAGGCCATAGAAGCGATAGCGATCCAGAAGGCCGCGTGGTCGCCGGGCCGATGGGCAACATATTCGCAGCTCGGCATGAGCTCTCCGTAGTCTCCCAGAAGAGTATCTTTGACGTGACCTGCCATAGGAAGCCGCCTTCGCCACCGAAGTCTGTATCCAGCTGCCTACCATCCGCTCCGTACTGCATCTCTGACCAACCCGGTGAGGTTTGACAGCGTATCGCGCGAAGAGTGTTCTGCGTCTGGTAGAGGAAGAGGATCAAGGGCATGATGTAGAGGGCGAAACGAAGGTAGAGGCGGTCGAAGGAAAGTGGAACGCGGCTGTTGGCGTAGAAGTGAGTTCTGTTAAGCACGATTGCCTGCGACGTCAAATCAGCAAAAGGCAGTAGTCGTAGTCATGGGAGCAGATGCTCACCAGGGCGAATGTTGCGACGGCCCATTTGGAAGTAATGTAGCTGAACCAGGCGGCTACGTTCCTCAAAGCTTGCCACACGGTCATCTCGCCCTCGGTCGAAATCGCAGAAGCCGCTGCAGCGATGGATTCCTGTACAAACCCCGAGCCTGTAGTCGTCATGGTGCTGTTTGTCATGTTGGCCGTAGGTTCCGCGATAACGCTTCCACCCGAGCGCATCATTTCGCCGAGGAAACTGGCCTTGGAGAAGAGGCGCGGTAATGCCATGAGCAAGTCTGCTGGCGACGGCAAGAAGGAAGTCGCGTTGGCAGACGCGCCTGGCGTCTCCATTGCGGCGGTTGCGGATATCCGAGGATAGGTCGGCAAGCAGAACTACTCGAAGTGTTGATTAAATCCAGTAATTAGTGAAGCAGATACATGGCGACTGTGAAGACAGATGCAGTTCACAGCGATAGTTGGGTCAGGCGTCTTGAGCTTGCGCGACGATGTAAGGGTGCTGTGGACTTGGTGCGGAGGTCGACCGTGGAAACCTTGGAATGACGCGACCTCCGAGCCGTCGGGCTGCAGCTGCATAGGTAAACCTCCGAGGTATATTGACCTGCGCCACACTCTAATACTACACGATTTCTGATATATCACGGCGGTCATGCACACATATTAAACAACCATAGCGAATGTCTGCTGTGTGCCTATGTCCGTGAACCATGCATACTTTAGCAGCTGGACAATGCATTTCCACGTCCGCTAAACGTCAACGCCCATGATGCTAGGGTATGGTACAATCATATGTATACACTCCACCGCACTGTCCATCTATGCCATCTATGCCGTCTTGGGCTTCTTCGTTCCGTACTTTGACCGTGAGGTGATTCTGCTGCCGACACCACCCTGCAGAGTGTTAGCCATGTCTTCCCATGATAATTGTGCTCACGAGACTTACCAGATCCAGTGCTCCTCGAACCAAATGGTACTTCACACCAGGGCAATCTTGCGCTCGTCCGCCTCGTACCATGACAACTGAATGCTGCTGTACATTGTGACCTGCGTACTGGTCAGTCTTCCCGTAGCCCACCATTCCCATGTATTTGCCATACCTTCTCCCGGAATATACGCCGTGATAACCTTGCCCGTACTCAGTCTGACCCTCGCAATCTTTCGCTCACCCGAGTTGGGCTTCTTCGGCTTCGTCGTTCCCACTTTCAGACATACGCCCTTCAGCTCCGGCCTATCCTTCAATTGTGGCGATCGTAGTTTACGCGCCTTCCGCGCTATCCTCCCCTGTCGCAGGACTTGTATTAATGTGCATTTGTGTGCGCGCGACGACGGTGTTGGGCGGGCTGCGAAGGCCGGGGTACTGTTCTGGAAAGCGGAGGCGGCGATTGATGGCCGTGTTGATCGCGCCGGAGCGAAAGCAACTGCGGAGAGGATCGAGGGTCGCGCAAGACGTCGGAAGAGTGTGAGAGGCATCATGGGCGGGCGCTGTGGTGTGGCTCGAGATGTTGGTACTGGACAAAAGTTCGAGATGCAAGAGGGTGGCTGACTCAGCTAGGATGGCTAGTTGAAGGCCATCCCGGGTGCCCAGCGATACAGACAGCGCACCGTCCGAGAATAACATTGTCTTTTGCATGGATGCATGTGCAGTGCTGGAAGTAGTAATTCAACATGACATAATAATGTATATGCCTAAAGAGACAGCATCACGGTAATCGCTCAATGCAACACCTTATTTGCTACTACATGATGGGACCGACAAAATGAAGACACAGCGATGGAGTGAGGACATATATCGCGCATTAAACATGAATGCTCATGCGCGGGAGTCTATTACGAACAACGCACAAGTTCACCAAAGCACATACAGAAGTCAGGAACACTAGTGTCAACTCTCTACCATTATCAGTCTGCGCACTAGCTACATCACCACCTATTGCAACATTCCCACGTGTCTCTAGTACGGCTTCTTGGGGCCTTGTAGACAATGAGAGCCTCATTTCA